GGAAGGTGAGCATCATAGAATGCCAATTTAATAGAAGAAAGTATTCTTGTGTTGAGGGAGTACTTGAGTGGAGGCCCAATGTCCTTCTGCTACCCATCTTCCCGGAAGTCGGCCGAGTTTTTATATTAAATGATTCACAGCTTCCCCTTCTTCTTGATGCTTCTGGCAGGTCTCCCATGTCATTTCTGAACAGAGAAAGGGCAAATAACGCGGTTTGCCCCAGTTCATAGAGAGGCTTAGCGCTGCAGGGTGGGCAGGAAATATTGCCAAACATAAGACTAGAAATGACTCCTCACTGTGACCAAAGGATTTCCATTTCTTCCATTAATAGGAGGGAGTCTTTGGGAACACAAGGGATTTCCCCCTATCATTATGAAGCAGTAAAACAACCCAGTCTAACACTTCGCCTCTTTTACTTTGCCTCATTGTTGTTTCCCAATCTATAAGTGTTATGTTACGAGAACCAAGTTACAGGTCACTTAAGAAGATGGGTTAGAAACGGGGCTCGGACGGCATTGTGTTAAAGCACTTGGCTGCTAACCCAAAGGTTAGTGGTTCGAACTCACCCCGGCCCATGGGAGAAAGATAAGTATGTCCGTGAGGATGGGCACATTTGAAGCCCTATAAGGCTGTTCTACTCTGACCTATGGGCTGTGATGAGTTAGAATCAACATCAGGATAGTGGATTGTTTGGTTTGGGGTGTTAGAGATCCCACATGATTGTAAGCTTATACTTACCACATATGGGTGATATCGCCCAATGTCCACATTCCTCAAAACTAAATTTGTTTTGTTTTGGTTTAAACCGTCCCATTCATAATGTGTTAGGGAAACACAGGATCCAGGTAAGAGAGGGTCCAAGCCCAAGGAAACTAATGTTTGTTTTCCCCTGAAGACTTCCCCAGAGTGACGAGTCTAGCAGGTGGACTCTCGAGGAAGGGAGGGGAGAAGGGAGGGGCAAGGACGAGAGGGCAGTTGCTGTGGCCAGTCGTGTGCCTGGAAAATCTCAACGGCAGTCACTGTCACGACCTCTGCCCAGCCTGGGTATTGCCCGCCTTCATTCCCTCGTTCATTGTCTTCCGGTCCTCATCATCGTGCACCTGCACTATTGCCACTGTGTCTACCAGTGCCCCTAGCTCGCGTCTTTCTTCTTCCACCCTCTCTCTGCAAGTTCGTGGCGAAAATAATCTTTGGTTGGCACAGCTCTCATCGATTCATTTTTTCCCGACTTCTCATAGTTCTCGCTCATGCACGGGACGACACAGCCACTCCTCAAACTGGCATTCCAGACTCCCCGTGATCTGACTGACACATCCGACCGCTCCCATCCCCTCCTTCCTTCCGCTCGCTGCGTTTCCGCCTGGGACCCCCAAGGCTCACTCTTCGTGTGTCCGGGCTTGAATTCCATCTCCCTCCGACTTCCACGTCTTCATACTGCTCAACCCTAAGACCCAGTGCAAACGCCACCTTGTTCACAGATAACTGGCAGACTCCAACTGCTGCAAGTGAATTTCCACAGTTCTTCCTCTATTGTAGTTACTTGTGTATGTGGTGGATTTATCAATGGCTCTTCTCTCTCTCTCTCTCTCTCTCTCTCTCTCTCTCTCTCTCATTGCACATTCCTTCAACACTGGCTTTACATCTCATTCTCAATTGTATCTCTATACACAATGTCTTTCTCATGTGGACACACAATAGAGAGCTACTTATAGATATAGATAAATGAATAACTAGATCCAAAGCTGGAGATGGAAGAAAGACAAATTATTTTGTTATTATAATGAAGGCAGCAAAGAATACAACTGGGAGACAACTCAAGAAGCAATAGAGATAAAAAATGCAGGACAGGACTTGAAACTCACACATGAAGGTAGGTTATTGCTGAGCCCCGTCTTTCCAAAACCCACATGTGCTAGTTAGTCCAAATGGCTTAGAGGGAAGTCTTAGTACCCAGGAGTCAATACCAACTCAAGAGAAAGTCAGGCTTTCTTACTGAAGGAGATAGAGGAAACTTTGACAAATAACCACTGCATTATGCTTATATTAACATGTGGTACTTTGGTTTTTAGTTATTTGTTTAAACAGCAGTGGCTCTCTCACCGAATCAACCATTTAGAGATTGGAATTACTAAATACAGAAGGTATTTTCCCCCCTGGCCTCTCCTTTCTCGCTGAATTTTACTTTTTATCACCTCCTAGGAAAGGAAAGGGGGTGCCCCAAAGCTTCGGGATTCTTGGGGAACAGTACCTTAGGTATGCTATCATTGTTGTGATGCCGGTTTAGGGGAGAAGGCCGCAGAGTAAGTAGAAATGTGGCTATCGGTTTAAATTAAACCAGAAGAAGAAATCTGTGTCTGCAGAGGTTCATAAGGGTTTCCTATTGTACTGGACACCCCCCGCCCCCCAAAATGCTCACCCTGATCACTCACACCTACCTTCCCACATTAATTTTCAAAAACTCATTAACCACCTCACGTGTACTCAAGCAGCTCAATGAGTGACACGTCTAGTCAGCGGGTGCCCCTGTGGGCACCCTACACATGACGAGACATCCTCCCTCGCCAACCTGTTTCAAAGTCAATAGATGACTTTGGAAGGATGAATACTTTTCTGGTTGCCTTTTAAGAAAATCTGATGTCAAGTCAATCAAAAATTGATTACGTGACTCATTAACACAGCTTCACTCAGGCAGGACTGTGAGATACGCCTTTCCTGTGTCTTAGTCACACTATCTCCAAAATCTGAACCTTTGCTCCTTCATTTTAATGATATCTTGACGGCTTTTTTTTTTTACATTTAAAAGACAATGTCCTTGTAGCAGGCATGTGGTAGGAATTTCATACATGAACAGTGAGTGAACATAAGGTGCCGTCTATTCCATGTACTAAGTCAAGTCTTCTTCACGGTTTTGTCAAACCCAATACATTATGAATATCAAGAAATCAGAAGGTTAACATTTTAATCCTTTTTCTTTTTCTCTCCTCTAAAATGCCTAGCGAAGATGCTGTAAGCGACATTCATCAACACATGGATCAATACGCGGGAGCAAGCACATGCACACACATGAAGTACTAGCCATTGAGTCACTGAGCTTCCAGGGTCCCGCATTAGTTCAATTGCATCCATCCTGTTGTGCTTGGAGGGTACCAATAGGGAATCCATCCATTCTGATTCAGAGTAATTGTTGTTCCGCGTATTTGATTTTAAATAGCAGTTAAATCATCGATTGGCCTGTGGTTTTCTGAATCCTCGTGGGCAGATTTCTATCTAAAATCATCCCTACATGGTGCCAACACCATGATGACGTTGACTGAAAATCTCCCCGCTTTTCAGATGATTTCAGTTCTCCAGTTTTCATCTGCCCAAAGCCTGGCTTCACTTTGAAATTCACTTATTTCCTTTCCATCAAACTATGGACAGGCTTAAGTGGTAATAATTTGCAAGGCAGTGGAAAATGAGGGCTCTGTAGTTGAGTGGAGTACAGACACTGCCACTTAGTAGATGGAAGACTTTGGCCTAGTTCTCAATCTGTCAGCGCTTCACTTTCCTTGCCTGTAAAGTGAAGGTAAGAGTAGTCTACACCTATTAAGAGTTACTAGAGGGCTTAAATGATGTCATGTATGCAGCATGCCTGGGACATAACAGACCTTTAAAAGTCTTAGTTCCAATCCCCATTCTTTTCTAGGATCAATAATCCAAATACTCAGACAGTACTTAGAGTTGCTCCTTAGTGTCAATTGAAGACTACTTGCCAAACACAAACGTACCAGGATCTAACCTTGCTGGATCTGGTTCCTATCTACCTCTCCATATGTCCTCCTTTCCTACATTCCCCTTGCTTGATGTCCTTAAACACACTGGTCTCGTCACTAGTCCTTGTGGTCACCATACTTCTACCTTACAGCCTTCTCTAACAGTTTCTCCTCAGTTAGACTTTGTCTAGAGCAATCATGATCTCTCCCTTCATCTGTGTGAAGTCACTCTCAGACCAGCATTACTGTATCTGGTTACCTCTTATAAAAACTAGACCATTGTGCCACCCATCAATGGTTTAGCATTTTTAGTTTGTTAACACTTTGTTAGGAATTAGTTCAACTGCCTTTTCCAGTTGGCCTTGATCTATTATAGATGAGAATAGAAAAAAATGGCTCTATGTGGGAAAATGTATTTACATATATATCCTGCCAATTTCTTAAGGGCTTGGACACTTTGGTCACAGGTCCCCCAAGAGCCCAGCTACCTCATGACTCATCAATGGTGAAGTTTTTATTATCCCATGGGACCACAGAAGGGAAATACCATGTTGAGGTCACTCTGTGGCTATAGAAGGTAAGAAATAATAAAGGTATTTTATTTACACTGAACCTTTGTTCCCTCTCTGCTTTTAAGTCCATCAATGGTTAATCTAATCTGGTGGAAAATCTTTCTGCCTCCTGTAAAGTTTGATTCCTGCAGGCAGGTGTTTTTTGTTTTTTTTTAAATCCAGCAAGTGTCAGATAATTGGAAGGGTGGAGTAATGCTGTAAACCACGACACACCTTTGTCAGAACTTGTTTAGAAGCGAAGAACTGAAAGAAACCAGGGAAAGAGAAGGAGAAGGGAACATTTTTGAACGATCACTCAGCTTTAACACACCTTGGCTAGGTCTGGATAAAAAAAGTGTGAGCCAAAAAACTTCTGTAAGAAGACAGCAGGGGAAGAAAGAGAGAGGAGGGATTGATCCAGAGTGGTTTCTCAGACTTTCAAAACTGCAAGCCAGGTAAGTAACAGGAGGATTTGATCTTTCTCCCTTTTCCCTAGTTTTTGATATCAGGTTTGCCATTTAGAACTTAAAATGTCTATTGGGGAACATAAGAAGAAGGTTCCCAAGGGTTAAGTGTCCTGAATGATGCGATCAGTTGTTCACAAATGTTTACTTGAGATCGTACCTTCTGTTTAACACAGGTCTTTAAAGAGAACACAGGAAAGATCCATTTTGGGGGGAAGAGAAGGCCAGTTAAGATATGCTGGGATATAGGGGCACAGTTCACTTTTTTAAGGGTTGGTATTATTTGGGGTATTGTTATATGACTTGTGGGTTTTATTTAGACTGTGAAAAGGGCTTAGGATCACTTCTCTTTCTCAGTCTCATTTTCTCTGTGCATGTGTGTCTCTCTCTGTGTGTATGTGTATCACACACTCTCTCCCTTCTCTCTCACTCTCTCTTTCTCTCTCTGCATTTGGAAGCAGAGGACAACCCTGAGGTGAAGCAGAAGTAGGTGTAGGGAAAGCATCTTAGAAGCCAATCCTGAGCTATGAGAAGAGTCCAGGGTAGCCAGGTCTCTGTGCTGGCAGGCTTGCTTAAACTGGGCACTGTTGTTTATCATGATCTAAAATCACTGCTCTATAAAGCTGAATCTTAGAGTAGTTAGTTAGAAATGTCCTAGAAGTCAAACTTAGAAAAAGAGAGAAAGAAAATCTTGTCTGTGTCCATAATCTGACTGGCCAGCTCAACCCCAAATCAATCCCTTTGGGGTGAGAATTACCAGCTTAGGTCTATGACTGGACAAACCGATTGCTCACCAACACAGCCTCGATGTCTGTCAGCCAGAGCCTCAGGGTACATCATTTCTCTTGACAAAACTGTCCATCCATAGCCATTTAAAGATCATGAAAAATTTTAAGGTAGACTTATTCTCCCTTGTATGTTTCCTCTTAGCATTAAGGTACAAATATAAGGGATGGGGATGGGATCTGAGTGCTAACTAAACTAAAAGAGACATCCAACTTCTGATGGTCCCCTTCAGAGACTCGGAGGGACCTGCTCTGCTCTGGGCAGAGTGATCAGAGTGCACGGGAGGACAATGGAGTGAACAGGCCTGCTTTGAACCTGGAGAGAAATGTCTTGGCCTGGTGAAACTGATCAAACCAAAGAACAACCATGTTTTGAGATGACTTACCCCAAAAGTCTATGTCTGCATTGTTAACTTCATCCACCATTACTCAGGAGCGGGGCTTAACCCCAACTGTTCTAAACAAGCCAGCATGCTCACAACGCTGGTGACTTATTTCCCCCCACCCTCACCCCCCTGCCAGGAAAACCAAGGGTCCCAAAGTGGTAAGCCCAGTTCTGGGACGTCACAGAGACCACAACCTCTGAGACAGCCCACCCGAGAGAGCTGGTTTTGCTAGCTGTTGCTTGGCTTCATCTTCAGGGGTTTCCAGTAGGCCAGTGGATGGTTTTCTGCATTTTGGCCATTTTGTTGTTGGTTTGCTTTAAAATAGAAGTGTACAGAGATTGGAATAAGAGCCATGAAGATATAGTTGTGATTCCACAGCAGAGTATCGTAACATTTGTTATTTAATTTTAAAAACTAGAAAAGTAACTTCTTCATTCTCTTCTCTGTATCATAATTAAGTGTATCAAAAGTAAGCATTCCTTAGAATCAAAGTAGATCAATGTCATAAGTGGTTCCCTTTGTGTGTGTGTGTGTGTGTGTGTGTGTAACACATCTCTGTCATCTGAATAGTTACAGGTGGATGTGACACCATTTGAACTGAAGTAGAAAGAGGGGGAAATGTAGAAAAATAGACCAAAAAAGGTTTCAATTTTTACATCTTAAAAAGAGCATTAAGTGTAAAACAACCATGAAGCAGCTCATTGGAACCCAAACTTGAAGAGTGAGTGTGTGTGTGTGTGTGTGTGTGTGTGTGTGTGTTTAGAACAGAGAACTGGGATGGAGTGCTCATCCTACTCGTAGGAGAGAGGCTCAAACACTCGAGAAGTGAATGTCTTATCGTTCTCATTATGATATTTGATAGTGTTTTCATTACCTGGTGCTTTGGGAAGATGAGGGCACGCTGAGCACTCTTAGGAGAGGCATGTTCAGGCACGCGCTTGGGCATGTAACCTTCCCCTCCCTAAGACCCATTCCGTCGGTCAGTCACACTTTTCAAAACTACCAACCCTGAAAATGCCGCAAAAATAAGTCCTGTGAGAAACTGGTTCAGGGCCTGAGCTTAGTTCATGCTTGATTCTCCATCCATTGTACTCCAATTGAAACCTCACTGATAGCAAGTTTTCTCTTAGCTTTGGTTCTGTTAGTTTGTTTTTGTTTTCTCTTACCTTTGATTGAAAGGCATTCCCCCAACACATCCCTGCTACCCCAACCTGGCAATCTGGCCAAGGACTTCGGCAAAGCCAACCAACGTCTAGGCTGTATTTTCAGACCTGCTGGAATCATTCTGCATGGCCGTGGGATACACAGCTACTTGAGTGGCATCCGGCCCAGAGAAAAGCCAGGGGAGAGGAGGGGAGGCTCATTTGCAGGGTGCTTTCCAGTGACTTCCTAATCACGGTCTCTTCCTGCCCACTGGAAATTGAGAAACCCTTGGCTTTTTACTGTAGAAACTGCAGCCCCGCCTCTGGGACTTCGAGAAAGATGGAGGCCCAGAGACATCTATTATTTTTCGGAGAGCAGAACGAACAAGAACCCACTTGCCAGGTTTGCAGCCTGGGGATTGAGACGCTTACCTAACGGAGCTATCATCAGTCTGCCTTACTGGCTACACCTGGAATAAACCCAGCCGGTGCCAATTCCAAATTCACCTTCACTGGAGGAAACACACAAATGATAATATGTGGGGAACAAAAGTTTATTTCTGTGGATGGTTACGAACAGTTCCTTTTCGGGTAAGATTTCATAGCAGTTCAGGTGCCATCTCCGGGTGCCAGTTGCTCCCCCACCCGAAGCCGGAGGCGTTACGGGTTCCTTCTCTGACATGCCTTCTGACGAATTTTTGGGTTGCTGTTTCAAGGCAGGGAGGGTCTCCGGAGGCCCCAAAGATCATGTTTAAACAAAGGATTTCGAAGTGGGGGTGTCTGGTTACACATAGGTTTGCGTGACAGATGTCATAGTGGTCAGAGCTGGACAGAAGATGTGGTCACAGGCCAGGGTGAACTTCTAATGAGAACTGGACTCCCTTGTTATATGGCTGAGGAAGCCCCTCCTCTTGGCTCCAGGAACCATGCTGTAAAGACATTCTGTGGCTTCTCAGATCCAGGTGGATTTTTTTTCTATGATGTCTCATTCTTTGCCCCGAGCTGCATTTAAGAAACACCAGTGAGCAAGAAGTTGGCATATTCAAGCAGGCCCTAAAGCTAGCTGTGCCAGTCCTCGTTAATCCCGCTGGTGGTTGACCAGCTCGCTGGACTGTGCCCATGGTTTGGGGTGGAAAGCCGCAGGACTGCATTATATTGTCTGTGGGGGTGAGGTCCTTTTGCCATTGTAGACTCCTCTTCCATGAAAAACCGAACAGTTTTGTGTTAATCAGCTTTTGCAGCTGCACCGATATGAAAAGGAATAGCATCCAGGTTTGGTTAGTTACTTTGTTCCCTTCTGATTTCAAAAGAAATTAACATTTTTGTGGACCCCTAAAAGAATCAAGGAGCTTCTGATTGTGCCCACTGTGCCTAATGAGAAAATCGGCCCTGACTCCCCAGGCAGGAGAAGATGAGCAGAGAGATTTCTGGGCCAGGCACTTCCTAGGCAGAAGTGACTAATCCCAGAATTTAGAATCCAATGTCAATCGCCACCAAATGATGGACTAGTTCAGTGGAGGAGAAAGCCAGAGTTCAAGTCCTTCTAGGACTGGGACCCATGGAGGAAAAAAGATCCCAATTGGGTCAAAGATTCTAATTCTGTTTCCCTGGTGCTCCTACTTCCTGATCAACCACCATGCTAAAGAGCAAGCTTAAAATCTCAATCGTTTCACTTTCAGAAGGGACACAAGAATGAAGGGAGAGCACAGATAACACATTTGAACATGTACTACCTTATAGATCTCTGAACAGGAGCCCTGGTAGTGTTGTGGGTTACGACGAGTTGGGCTTCTAACTGCAAGGTCAGCAGTTTGAAACCACCAGCCACTCCTAGTGGAAAAGATGACGCTTTCTACTCCTGTAAAGAGTTGCAGCTTCAGAAACCACAGGGGCAGTTCTCCGCCGTCCTTATAGGGTCACTCTGAGTTGGGACTAGCTCCACAGCAGGGAGATTGGGTTTGGGGGCG